CTTATCAGAGCTTTCAAGCTAAGTTTCAAAGCTTACATTTTTCAAAAAGTTTGAAAAATAGAAAACTCACTCTTTAGTGCTAAGGGAATTGCCTTTGATATTTTTGTGAAGCTTGAAAAGGTGCTCTAAGGAATAGTTTTTGTAATGAAGTGTGGGAAATAGTAGTAGCACACCATAGCTATTGCAGGGCCTTAATTATTGATAGCTATATCAACATGAGTTTGAGTAAACTCCTTGAGTTGGCGTTGGATAGGGAGGCCTGGCATGCTGCAGTCCATGGGGTCACAAATAGTCAGACACTCCTGAGCAACTGAACTGAACTGGTATCTTAAGATTCTCTGTTTTTCTGCTAATTCTGTTATCATATCAGTCACTTTTGCTATCCAACTCAGCCATAGCCCTTCAAATCACCTTAAATTCACTTACTTAAGCAGGATGCCAACAGGGTATCATGAGAGATCCAGAGTTTGGAAGACCCAACACAGAATGTCACTATAGTTTCACTTCTTAAACTTGCCTATTGACATCTCTGTGATTCCTCAGTCCCTAAAGCAGAAAGCAGATCTGATAGGGAGTGTTTGGACATGATTAACATCATATGTGTGTGTGTTTGTGTGTTAGTCGATTAGACGTGTCTGACTCTTTGATATGCTGTGGACTGTAGCCCGCCAGGCTCCTCTGTCCTTGGAATTCTCCAGGCAAGAATATTGGAGTGGGTTGCCTTTCCCTTCTCCAAGGGATCTTCCCAACCCAGTGACTGAACCCAAGTCTTCCACGTTGCAGGCAGATTCTTTACCATCTGAGCTACCAGGGAAGCCCGATTAGCATCATATTCACCTTCAATTGTTCTTATTCCTGTATTTGTGGGGACACAAAGAGAATGTCAGAATTAGACACAGAGGTATCTAAAATTTTGTCAAATTGTTTGTCTGCTTTTTTTATATACTATATTTTTAAATACTATATGTTTGTTTTTCACTAGCTGGGTCTTCTTTGTTGCACACGGGCTTTCTCTAGTTGCAGTGAGAGTGGTTAGTTACTCTTGGTTGTGGTGCACAAGCTTCTAATTGCAGTGGCTTCTCTTGTTGCAGAGCTCACACCCTAGAGTGCAGGTTCAGTAGTTATGGCACACAGGCTTAGTTGCCCCATGGCATGTGGGTCTTCCCAGACCAGGAATCAAATCCATGTCCCCTGCTGGAACTGCTGGACCACCAGGGAAGTCTGTGTGTCCGCTTTTAAACTCTGAAGCTTTATAAAAGTGTGAATTATTAACAATGCATGCATGCTAAGTCGCTTCAGTCGTGTCCGACTCTACGCGACCCTATGGACAGCAGCCCACCAGGCTTCTCTGTCCACAGGATTCCCTAGGCAAGAATACTGGAGTGGGTTGCCATTAGGTATGTTCTAATACCCTCATTGGGATTCGCAGGTGGTACCAGTGGTGAAGAACCCGCCTGCAAATGCAGGAGACACAGGGGATGCAGGTTTGATCCCTGAGTTGGGAAGATTCCCCGGGGAAGGAAATGACAACCCACTCCAGTTCTTGCCTGGAAGATACCATGGGCAGAGGAGCCTGGTGGGCTTCAGCCAGTGGAGCTGCAAAGAGTTGGACACGATTGAAGTGCCTTAGTAGGTGCACATGCACTCAATACCCTGACTAGGTCTACTTAGTGTATGACCTGTGGACACTTGCACAAGTTTTAGCTTATGTGATTGTTTGTGACTACAGAACACAAATTCAGCTTCATTCTGAATATGAATCTGGTGAATGTGAAAGTGAAGTCGCTCAGTTGTGTCCGACTCTTTGCGACCCCATGGACTGTAGCCTACCAGGCTCCTCCGTCCATGGGATTTTCCAGGCAAGAATACTGGAGTGGGTTGCCATTTCCTTCTCCAGGAGATCTCCCCAACCCATGGATTGAACCCAGGTCTCCTGCATTGTAGGCAGATGCTTTACCGTCTGACCCACCAGGGATCCAACTGTGTAATTCCCAGAATTGACATGTAAAGAATTTTTAACTTTCTCAGGGTCTGCCAGACATGAGTACTCAATAAATACACATTGAGTGAAGATCAGTGCTATCTCTAAACAAACTCTTTCCAGCTTGATATTAGGCTTTTAATCTACTAAAAAGTTTGTCTCATTGGTGGTGGTTTAGTCGCTAAGCCGTGTCCGACTCTTGCAACCCCGTAAATTGCCAGGCTCTTCTGTCCATGGGATTTTCCAGGCAAGATTGAATTTAATCCTAATTTTAACTGGAAGTAAGCATTCTAGCTTCTCTTCTGCTTTATCTACTTTGTGCTCCACAAGAGATACTGTTACCCTTATTTGTTCTAAAGTTATCAGCATTTCATATTTTCCTTTACTAGTTCCAGATTTTCTTCTCACCTTTATTTCAAAACAAATATAACCATTTTGTTTTTGATATATAAAATAAAATGTAAGAAGCTGTAAAAAGTGTAGAAATCTTCTCTTAATGGGAAATCATCACCACCATAACCATCATCATAGTAGTAGCAGCAGAACTATTTGTTGAGCACTTACGACTAAGTACTGTATACACTATTTTTACTAACATTAATCAGAATCACAGCAACTCTGCAAAGTAGGTATCATTATCCCATTTTACAGATGAGAAAACTGAGGCTCAGAGAGGTTAGTTTTAAGTAAAGTCATACTGCTAGGAGGTGACACTGCCAGGATTTGAAGCCAGGTATATCTGATCATTATATTTTAACGTAGACATACTAGGAAAAACTCATTGTGAATGAAGATATTTCACAGCCTCAGAACAATTTGTAATTAATGTGGAGGTGTATAAATAAAATCACCACAAGTTATTCCACTACTGTGTTTTTTTTTTGTAAATGTTTGACATTTTCCCACTTTAGGAATCCCAGAAAAGAACATTGTACAGCACAGGAGGAAATAGGGGCAGAAGTGTTCTTGATTGAATAAAAGCAATGGTTGAAAGAAAAAGACTTCCTTCTTGAGTTCCTCATGCAATGAAAAAATAGATTCTCTTCTCTTACCAGAAAACCACCAATTTAAGGAGGGATGCAAAGGCCAAACCAAAGGTGTCTTGCTTAGAGCAGGATGAACTGTCCTTCTGAAATAGGTATTCAGCCTTCTTCATTCATGCATCAGACTTAATGACATGATGACATTGCTGGGATATTTCCATTGGAGACTGTCACTGACAGTTCTGCCAAAGAGAGCCATTTTTAGCACTGGGAGTTCGTGTATGAATTTCCTATTTGTACACTGGCTATCACAATCTTTCACATTCTGAGTGTCTGAAGAGACTGAGGTTGAATAGGAAAGTTGTTTGCAGGTGTAGTCTCCTGCTCTCAGCGTGGGTTTACAGCTCTTAAAAACAACTTTTGAGGAAAGCTTTCTGTTTGATGTGGATAGTGGCGAGAGTTATGTACATACCATGGAGCCAATGTGATTCCCTTATGAGGAGAAAATTCGCTGCTAATGATCTAGCATTTGAGCTTGGGTCAAAGTGAGTTACAGTCTAGTTTTCTAACCTGAGTAGTCATATTCAGAGCCTCTCTACTCAGACTTGCAGGGGAGGGTACTGCTGCTTCTCTATATTTTTTAAAAGTGGAAAGAGTATGAGTGAGACCTCTACTTCTGCAATTCAATTCCCATGTGGCTAAGGCTTGGTCATCAATCTTCTTGACCAAGAGACACCACTTTTCCCCCCTCAGCTTTACTAAAACCACAGAGGTGGAGAGGAAAATGTCTATTCGTTAATGTCAGACACCAATTCAAATGGCTTACAGGCCTCAGTACAACATTAAATAAGCCTTCGTATAAAACATGAGTCAGAATTGTTTCTCTCAAACTTGTTTTTAGATATGTGGCTGTTTTAGTCATCAAGACAGTATGTAAAATAAAATTCCTTTCCAGGTTTTATATATTTGAAATGGGAATGAGGATTCTTTCAGTTCTATATTAGCAGTTTTCATTAATATCTTTTTTAGTATTTCAGGAATATATTTTATTTTCTTAATGCACCTAAACATTTTCTTCACCAAAACTATGATAATCGAAATCTGAGATAATTAGAACCTGAAAATGACTCTCTTACCCTTTTTCTCTCCAGGCAGGTAGGTAAGTAGATAGAAAGATATTCTAGAGATATGTATGTGTATGGCTATCTGTATATCACTCTTTGTGTGACTATGTATATGTATATCTATTTGGAAAGTAAAAATATTAAATTCCTTCCACAGCATAAAATAAAATTTTTATAGTTCTATTTTTCTTATAGTTAATTTTGTGACTGATTTTTTTAACTTAAGTATCTCACAGATTCGGATATATACCTATCAAAGTGGCCTGCTATCCAGATGAAGGCCAGTAAAACGTGGAAGACCTGTAGTGTCTGCCTAGCAGCATTCACTAGAAAACCATACTTATAAAAAATAAAGTAATATATGGTATGATCATCATACCACTAAATGCTGTTGTGTTGCCGTGCTATAATTTTATTTTTAAGCTGAGGCTACTGGAAAAAGAAGCAATTTGGACTTATGTGATGCAAATACCATAGTCCATGATGAAAGTAACTTAAGCTAACTACTGTAAACTTATCAATCTGTGACTTTGAAATTAATAGCCTCCATTTATTTAATAATTGCTCAGCCCGCACATGTTCTATATCCCCATTTCCTGTGCTCTGCACCAAGGATACAGCTGGAGGAAATCGGAACTCCTCTGTTCCTCCCGCAGCCATACATTCTGCACTGCTTTCTGTGCAGGAGTACTATTTTGCCCTGTGTTGTTCCGTGTTGAGTTTACAGGACATCTGTCTGATCACATGTGCATGTGCACATTATTGAAGGCATAAACTGACATGCAGCATCTTGGTGACTGTGGATGATAATGATAGGCGCCCCAAGAACATCCTTTTTTTTTTTTTGTAAGAAGTCCTTAGAAGGCCCATTGGGAAAACTGAAATGCCTGGATTCCTTTTGTTTCTTAATAGAGTCGGATCTGGAAGGCCTTGATGATCTAGGTACTGTTTACAGCAGTATTGACCAGCAGCTGAATGAAACCATGAGGCGCCGCAGACACGCAGGAGAAAATGATTACAACATCGAGGTTCTGCTGGGAGTGGATGACTCTGTGGTCCGTTTCCATGGCAAAGAGCACGTCCAAAACTACCTCCTCACCCTGATGAACATTGTGAGTAGTGACTCCCTTTCTGAGGCTTTTTGATCTTTTAATTCACTTCTGTTTTGCTTTGGTCTCTTGGAAACCTCTATGAGGTCTTCCATGACTACACCCCACATTCAAAATGTGCACGTAATTGCATTCAATTCAAATACTGATCTACAGATTTAACATACAAGATGCAAAACTAAAGGAAACATGAAGTGAAATTTTCTTTTGCGTGATCAACTATTGATCCATTGTCATCAAAGAGAAATCTTAAATTTAAAATGTTATAATGGGCTGGAATTATAACATCAATTATGGTTTTCATTTGGTTCTGGGGATAATCAAAACTCTCAGGACTTTGTCCACCTGACTTGATGTGGACCACGAAGAATGAGATGGATCTTTCCAGTATCATTTTGCATCCCAGGATGATGAGGAATTATGTAGGCCTAATAACTCTGTGTGCATGCTTGCTTTTAGAGCTTTTGGATGGAGCAATGTTTTTCACCATTATGCAGTTGAATGTAATATACATACAAAGCACAGTCAACTCTTGGCACAGTGCTGCCCTGGAATTATAAAGGACTCTGAATTTGTTCTCTGTTCCTTCCTTATGAGCCTTAATCTTATCCAGAAGAAATTTAGACAGTAACCTCAAACTGATGTCCTTTTTCCCCATGTGAACTGGCACAGAGCAGTTGAGGAAAAATAATACATAAGTTACCTACTTCTAAAAGATAACTAAGATAGTAGTATGCTCTGTTTTATATCTTTTATCTCCTAGAATGATAAAATACCATATTACTTTGGCAAACGTATTACCCAAGCCTATTGTCTCTTTCAGCTTTTGACTTTTAGTGTGATTTCTTTGGGTATCTTGCATTTTTTCTATGCTTAAGATTAGATTGCCAACAATTCTTAATTTTATTAATCATGATTTTATTTATTCTAATATTTAAGCCAATATGTTAAATGTATATTCTGTTCATTAGATGCCAATGTATAAAATTCTACATATACCATATCTCTGTGAAATAGAAAATAGTGCAGAAACTGAGACACATGTTTATTTGTTCATTGGCACAGATCCCAGTTATGAAGACTGCTTAGCACACAGAAAACAAATTCCCCTGGAGATGCTACTTTTATTAATACTTGCATCATTCACTGTGCCCCTGGACCATTTTCTTCTACACTAGGGAGACAGTCAGTCAGGATATACTTGTTAGGAAGGCTCTTGGAGTAGTGCAGAGATTTGGTACAGTCTTTGTCCTCACAGTACTTATAATTTAGTCAAGGATAAAAGTGATGCAAAAAAATGCAAAGGTTGAGCAATAAAAGGCATTCTATTATTAAGACATAGCAGTAGGCACTGTACTATAAGTTCTGTAAAACTTTAGAGGGAGCATCTGTGAGGTGTTGAGATTATTCAGTTGGGACTTCGGACGCAGAGGTTTTAGTTTTAACTATGTTCCTGGTTGACTCTCTGACCTTCGGTAATCATGTCCCTTCCTGGGGTTTAGTTTCTGTATTTATAAAATTAAAATATTGTACAAGATGTTCAATAATCCTCTAATCCATCAGGAAGCTGCAGGTTAGAGTACGTCTGTAGGGATTTGTTTCCTGGATTTTTAAAAATATTGTTTTCAAAGGGCTCATGGGATTGACTGTCAAGGTTTTCTAGACAGACTCTGTTGACAGGAAAGTAGAAATGGCTATAGTATATTCACCAGACAGTAGGTTGAGGTGTCAAGGGATACACAAAAGTGCTGCATTTTTGGTTTTATAACCATTGCAAAAGATGTTTTGTTTTTAAGACCATTAAAAAAGTTAGGTAATAGACTGAGTCTCTATCTCCAATACTAGAAATTATTCTAAAGCTAATCGAACATCAGAGAATGGAACTGGAAGAGAGAATATAATTTTTAAAACTGAAGTTCATTGCATCTAAAGTAATTACTACATGTAGAGGATTTTAGGAGGTAATAATAATAGTACCCCCTCCCTTCCCAAGTTCAGAATCGACTGAATGATAGGCATAGTGAAAAGGTAGATGAAGAATAAATAGTTTTATTATTAATAAGAGCTGAATTGCACATCATTTAAATGTACAGCCACAAATATTTTTCTTATTCTCAATTAGCTGAGAGCACTTTGTCCCAGCCCCTCCCACCCAGGAACATTTGTCAGTGTTTGGTCGGGAAGATCCCCTGGAGGAGAGCATGGAGAATTCTTGCCTGGAGAATCCCATGGACAGAGGAGCCTGGTGGGCTACAGTCCATAGGGGTCGCAAAGAGTGGGAGACAGCTGAAACGATTTAGCATGTACCGAGACATTTTCGGTTGTTGTAACTGGGAAAGGAAGCTACTGCCACTAGTGAGAGATACCAGGAATGCTGCTAAACAACTACAACATAAAGGGCAGCTCTACACAATAGAGAAATATGAATTATCTGGTCTAAAATGTCAACAGTGCCAAGGTTTAGAAACCTTGTTATACATTAGACAATCTTGCTCACAACCCTCTATCCCCAGCCCCCAATTAAATCAAAGGTTTAATAGAAAACCTTTAATCTCAGGTTTTCAATTAAACTTGAAACTCAATGATTTCAGATTTCCTCTGTAGGACTGGCAGAGAGCTGTAAGGATGACAGACTGAAGACAGAATCTTTTCCTGTCCTCTCTACACTGACATTGCTCTGTTGCAGACCCTTAGATCTGTAACACTGAAATGAGAATGCCCTGTCTCAAACTGATCAGTTAAATAAGAGTGGGAGGAATGAAAAAAACCAATAATCATATTCTAATGAAACTACCTTGTGGAAATTTGAAGCAAAGGAAATAAGTTGGGCTTTTTTGTGTTTTTTCTTTTTTGTTTTCCATGACAAGTTTGGAATGATTAGTAACTCCTATGCTAACCTTGTTTTATGGCTTCCCATGGTTATCTAAAATCATGGCTCTCCAAACTTGAGCCCAACACAAACATAAAGGCTTTCTTTACATGTCACAGAGGTTCAGGCAGAAACTATAGAAGAAAACTGACAGCAAAAAGTCAATTTCCTCGCATTGATTTGGGGAGAAATGGGGGGTTTACCAGGTGGCGCTAATGGTAAAGAACACGCCTGCCAATGCAGGAGACGCAAGAGACGCGGGTTCAATACCTGGGCGGGGAAGATCCCTTGGAGAAGCGCACAACAGCTTGCTCTAGTTTTCTTGCCTGGAGAATCCCATGGACAAAGGAGCCTGGCGGGCTGCAGTCTATTGCATTGCAAAGAGTTGAACATGACTGAAGCGACTTGTCACGTATGGTAGAGAAAAGATCACAGCTTCCTTTAGTCACGTTTGGCACTTGTAACTTCATTAACTAGTCAGCAGATACACTCTTCTTTTAGTTTACCTGATAGTCAAATATAGTTTCCATATCCAAAACCAGGTTATATTTAGCACGCCATTCCTGAACTAGGGTGGTACTTTTAGGTCCCAGTGGTTTGCTTCATGGTTGTCTCTTTACTTTAAACTGAATGCCTTTTCAAAGGCATGCTCATATTTATTATTTTGAAAAGAGTTCTTAAATTATTAAGTGTTAAACATCTGTTTAATGAAAGAATGGATAAGTGAACAAATGAGTGTAAATAACATAGAGGTAGATTGTGAACAGTCTTTAGAGATAGAAAATTTGGATTTGAAATAAGAGAATATAAATGACATGAAGGCTTTAATCAGTTTAACAATATAATGAAAGAAGTGTTTAGAAAGGAATTTAGCATTTATTGGGTGTCAGTATTTTTTCGAGTATATTGCAAGGTGAAAATTATTGTGACATTTTTTTTTCCCCTAGAGGAGACAGAGGCTTTAAAATGTCAATAAAATTGAGGTAAATTTTTACACCTATTTGAAGTTAGTAAAACAATCTGAGATAATGATAATACGGTGATGGCAATCATTAAAAGAAGACATGGAAAGGGCCTTCCATCTCAGCCCAGTGGTGAAGATTCTGCATTTCCAATGCAGAGGAAGCAGGTTCTATCCCTGGTTGGGGAACTAGGATCCCGCATGCTGCGTGGACAAAAAATAAAAGACAGGGACTAGCTTCTGTGTTGGTGAACACATCACAGTGCTGGGAGGGCGAGAGCTGGAAACAGCATGGAAGCTTTTATCTCTCCCTGCAAACCTTGCCTTCTGTATCTCTTACATTTGCCTGTTCCTGAGTTGTATGCATCATTTAAAAATAATTAAATATGTAGGAGGTGCAAGACAATAATGGAAAGGCAAGATAGTCTTGAGTCTAAGCCTGCCCCTAGCACTATATGGTGGGAGACTTTGTACAAGTACTAACTTCTCAGTTTCCTCACTAGGAAAATGTGAATAGTGGTGCTGTGCTCACAGGCAAATTCTAAAGAAGAAAGGAGAGTGTGAACATAGTACGTCTAGAACTGAGAAGGAGCTTAGCAGATGGCCAGTTGACACTGGCTGTAAAGAACTCAAAGCTCTTCCCACAATTTGCTTTTCCCCCTAAGTTCTACAAAGGGAAGCAGAAGGCTCATCATGTGATGTGAATAAAGATGACATGTTTGCAAGTATCTGCCATGAATCACTGACAGACACAGGGCTTGCCCCAAAACAAAACGGCAATTTTGTGGGGGATTTAAACAAGGGCAGCACAGCCCCCCATCCCCATTTGATGCCCCAGTTTTCCCAGAATCTCAGGGCAGAAAACATCAAAGGATTTGCTCAGGGTGATATCTGGAGCCTAGGATGGAGCCCATCTCAGCATCCAATCTCGTGAGCCTTTTGCCACCTGTGAGCCAGGACCAGAATCTGGAGAGAAAGGGATACAGACCTCACTGAGCTGATTTCATTGTCAAGATTAATCAGGAGTGGGGGGAGGGACAGGCACAAAACCCTGCTCCCTTCCTGGGACCATTTTCTCCAAAAAGTAAGGGTCTTGCATTTTATTGGGAGAGGTGCAACAAAGCCTATTGTGTTCAGGAAACAGACAAAGACCAGTAGCATCTTAAAGAGAAA